AACAAGAAACATCACAGTTACATAAAGCAGTAACTCTAGCAGACTCAAATAACACACCATTAAACTTACACTCACAACATACAGACATGACACAACATACAAAAAGCAGAGACAACATTAAGCAATCATGGGCTCAAAAGGCTCTCCATGGCAGGCATCCTTACGACCTGGCCCAGGATTTTGTTGACAAAACTGCGTCAAACAGCTGGTTAGATCGGGGATGCCTCTTTGGGGAGACGGAAGGATTCATGATCGCCATACGGGGTCAGGTCATAAATACTAAAAACTACAGAAAACACATACTCAAAGATACAACACAAACAATTATTATTCTATTATGGTTATTTATACATTTACAACTACAAAACGCATTTTTCAGTGTTTTCTTTACTATATTTATTATTATATTTTAATGTACTACTTAGCTTTAATTTGAGTGTTTTTTCGTTGGAACAAATTATTTCGTTTTACATGTAATCGTATGGGGAAAAATGATTCACCTTACGACATTTTCATGTTATGATCTCAGTTTCGGAACGAATTAATTTCGTATCTTGAGGTACCACTGTATTTCTAATTTACAGTAAGACTTCTATTAACAAACTAAAACGTGCAACTTAGATCTGCTGAGCTAAAGTTTCAATTATCTATTTTTATCTGTTTGAATTGGCTTTTTATTTTCAACTACTAATTCTCTTCTCAGTTTACACTTTGTTTCCAAGAACATTTCAAGAATTAATTCCTTTTTGGAAAAACTTTTTTATTTATTTTAAATGTTGTGTTGAAAGTATATATTAATATAGCATGCTTTATTATTCATTTTTATAGTGTGTTATTAAAGTAATTGCATACTTGCAGAATACAATTATGACATTTACATTTGAATGGCAAAATTTGTTTTTAAATTACACAAAATTTAAAATACACAAGTNCAAACAGCTTTTTCTTTGTTTAAACTTACCAAGAGTATCTTTAAAGAAAGATGAAAAATATTTTGTGCACTGCAAACATATTTAGCTACCATAGTAATTTTTTCCCAAACCATATACATGTTTCCTCTGCTATCCAAAATAGTGTGTTCCTGTGAAATCTTTCATAAGCCAAAATGGCATAACGTGAAGAAGCAATTACCATTAATTTATATGGAAAAAATCTTTTGAGTATTTTTAGATTCAAAATTAACTTACTAAACCATATGAAATAACACACAAAACTTAAAATAATACTAACATATAGTGAAAGCAGGAATGATATGATAAGTATACATCTTATATAATGTGGAAATATAATTACAGTGTAGTTAATGAAACTACACCAGAAATATCTTTCAAGTAAATAGCCTTTAAGCTATGAAATTACCCTCATCACAAATGCTAATCAATCCATCCAGGCTACATTTAAATTTCAGTTTTACAATACTTTTATCACCATTGTTCATTCTTTTTGTTTCAGCTTATTATAAAAGACTAGCTGATTTCTTTAAGTAAAGATAAGTAAGATAAGACCATTTAATTAAATACAGAACACCATCTTTGTACACCCAGTAATCTACTGAAGTAATAGACTACATTTTATCATTTTATTCATGCTAATGTATGCATAAAATAATTTGACATAAATCACAGATTCTCGCAGACACAGTTTAAAGCTATGACAGCTTGATGCTCACTGTAGTTCCCATAGGAGGAGATTGGACGTTTCTCTCACTCTTTGTTGCTTGGAGTACATAATGTCTCTAAAATGGCATTGTGCAAAACAAACATTAAATTCTATTTTTAGTTTGTCTTTTTTCATAAAAACAAAAATCATTATCAGATTTCTTTCAGTTAGTGAAAATAGTTACTAATATAGGTCTTTTGTAAAAGCATACTTTTATAAAGCAGCAGTAAAAACATTACGTTCAATATTTAAAAGCTAAGAATAACATAAGTCAGCAAAATTTAAAAAACAATACTTTGGGGAAGTTGCATTAATAGTAAAGAAAACATTAACTTATCACAAGTGTGGCAAGCAATGATAAGTTATTTCTAACTGTAGGCAAACTAGCACAATGTTGTAAATATTGTCACCACAGTTTCTAGTTATTAATGTGTATGTTACACCATTTAATTTTTCTAGTCTATCTGCAGTTTTAGAGAAAGTTGTATACATAATTTATGATTTTTTATTATGCTATATTTTGTCATTACATATGTTACATTTTATTATTACTGTTAATTTTTTTACACACTTTGTAATTTTTATTGTACAGTATAATCTCCGAACAGCAGACACCATCGGGAGTGTGAAGTTTGTCTGCTATTTGGAAGTACATGCTGGTGGCTATACTGTATTTTAATCTGGTCATCATATAATGAAGAATATAATGGATTTAAAAAAAACATCAAATTTACATTAAGAATGAGAATATACCAAAAGTATACATAGCATATATAATTAAAATATATATACAATATGTTATTTTTTTAGCTGTAAAAATTTTGTTTTAATTGAATCACATTTGAATGTCAAGTTACAAAGGTGATTTGAAGGGATCCTCTTCAAGAGGAGGGAAATATACTCAGAATTGTTACATTTATAATGTTATTTATGATCTAAGTGACTAATAAAAATCAATACAGAGATTTGTCTGCTTTGTAGTTATCAAGTAGGTTTAACTTTGCAAACATTTTTGCTTTTTTCAGTAGGCTAACTGAGTTATTAAAAATTACACTTTCAGCCACCACAAAACTATTAAAATGATTACAACAACAGCATTTATTTGGTGAAAGTTCATAGGTCATCTTACAAAGGCAATTTGCCGACCAATTTAAAGTGTGGTAAGATGTTTGGTTTTCTCACATTTATGATGTAATTTATGATCTTAAGTTTCTTTTTCATTACTGCTTTACTATGGTTCTTGTCGAATGAATAATTTTGGAAAAGTTTATAGTTTATTTGTATCATAAGCTTAATTCTAA